TGCTTGACCTTGAAGCAGCCCTTTATTTACCAAGTGCATTACAGACCTCAGAGGGATGGCCGATTCCAAGCAACAATTCTTGTTAAACCCATGGTACAGTGATGGAGGCTGAGGGTGATGATTAAATAAGTTATTCTTCATTTTCACATTGGGGTGACGTATACTGGTAAATGTTTTTCTGGATGAATATTTAATGATGTTAAGAAATGATTATAGTATGTTACAAAATAACATATATAGTATCCTTCCAATTTTACAAACACAAAAGGGAGATAGGCTACAGTACTAAAATGGCCTATCTCTGAGTGGTGGGATTATGAGTAATTTTTTCTTCAACTTTCTTTTCTGCATTTCTAAATTTATTACTGTACCCATAGGGGGGAAAGGTATAGAATTTCTCCACCAACCCAGCTGGGCCCTCGCTCCTTCCCTCTCAGGGTCACTCCCTGTGCATATTGTGTCCAATGCAAAGTGCTGAGCTACGGGGCTGGGTGGCCCATGGGTTATCCCTGAGGAGCAGGGGTTGGTGGCTCCAGTGAGCCAGTCAGTAGGAAACCGGCATCTCCCTGGGGCCTGGACAAGTGGGTTTGGTGGGGAGAGAGGAGGAGAGGAGAGGAGGAGAGGTCGAGACAAAGGAAGGTCACCCTTCCACGGCCCCTTCTCATCTCCACCACCTTAACAGCCTTAAAGCCTCAACACTCCCCGGGCCAAGTAGGAAGCAAGATGTCTGAGGACACAGGGAAATAGGAAGTGCTGAGTTGTGTGGGTTCCCGAGAAATAAGAGATACATCATTCTCTCTCTGCCTATGTTTGTATTTGAATATCCTTGTTTTCAGACAAGCAATTTGGATTTGCGCCACTCTTAAGTGGATAAAAAAAAAAAAAACACTAGAAATGATCAAAACTAGTCTGAATAGAAGACACCTATCAGGATGTATATATTCTCCAAGTGAATGAACACTAGTCCCTGAAATAGAATAGTGTAAACTGCGTGTATACAGATTTGCGTGTATGTGAATGCATCATGTGGCAAAGGGACCCAGCGTCCCCATAATGATAGTTATTTTAAATTGGTCAACCCAGGGTTTTAAAATTCATTTATTTGGTATTCACTCATTCATTAACTCATTCAACAAATGCCTGGCTGAAATCCCAATTCTACCTTAACCAGCTGTGCAGCCCTCAGGAAGTCACTGAATTTTTCTGAGACTGTTTCTCTAGTGTGCTGATCACCAGGGGTTTCCTGCAGGGCCAGGGACCTTGACACCATCCAGGTGTGTGTCTGGTAACATGAACTGTGCATGAATCATGTCTTCTCAGATGCCGGAGCCCCCACCTACATGTATGAGTTTGGGTATCGCCCAAGCTTCTCGTCAGACATGAAACCCAAGACGGTGAGAGGGGACCACGGGGATGAGCTCTTCTCTGTCTTCGGAGCCCCATTTTTAAAAGGTAATGGTTCTTG